AGGAGGGTTTCCGAGTAAGGAGGTTAACTTAAACATGCTTTTGTTTGTTGATGGATGAGAGTCGAGAGTGTCCACAATATGATGTTGTCTGAAACAACTTATAAAAGTTTGTGAAGTTCGGCAAAAGAGATTACCTGATAATTGAAAAGAGAGTTTTTGATAGCTTTTTAAATGTATTTAAGAATAACGGTCAATTGGTTCAGAAAGAAGAAATCGTGAAAGAGCTCCTTTTATATGGCATTTTTAGGTTATGTTTCTCTGGTACATGTATCACAGTGACATCACATTCATATCAACATTTTTTCAATAGCCACTTTTCATTGTTAAATAATTCACCTTTCCACTTTTACACATTCGGAACCGTTCCTAACATCGGTTTAATCGTATTAACCATGAAATATTGAATATTTTTCTACGCATTTAAAATAATAATTACTTAGTGACTTGTAACAGTATAATGGTGTATGTGAACGGTATAACCAGGGTTATTGATTGGTAAAATGTTTCGACCGAATCACAGAATTCAAGTTAAGGTAATAGTCTATGGTATCTATAATTCTATAATAATATTGATCGTTTCTGTACTAGTTTCTATAACCGTTTGTTTGTCCGTCCTAAATAATGCGCACTTCTAAATACATATTTAAAAAAATAGATTAATAAAAAAAATTAAAAATCGAAATAACATTGTTTAGGCTAAAACTTAAATGGATGTTCCCTTCGTTATTCCGAGTGCAAGACCTGAAAACCTTTTCCGTTTATAGATAAGCAGATATCAAGGAAGTTTCATGAGAGAAACCTGTTTTAATTTTCTCTTTGATTAGGTGGGTAAAGTTTGAGGAGGTTCTAGAAGAGAAAGGTAAGCGATGGTCAAAGCCACACGTATCCTCCCTCTACATGCAGAGCCTCACCGAACTCCAGTTACTCCTAGCGTCAAATCCAATTTTTCTCGATCTGGATGCAAACAACATGTTCGATCTAACTGGTGAGTAGCAATTGCATCATATTAACTCAGACTTTAATGTATTTACAATAACAACATACTATCATATTCAATTTAATGTCACCAAATCCTACGTCACAAAAATCAATAGAATGAGGTCGTCAATCTCCGTACTACTGCCAAGTACTGTTAGAACGCAGTGGGATATGCAAATGATATCGTACAGTTATACAGTATGTCGGTGACATAAACTTAACGTTGTGTACCTAAAACATAAGTCAAAGTTGAGACGCTAATCAAAGAACACATTATCTGTCTTGCAGAAACCTTAGTAGCACAGTGGACGAAAGACGGTTACCTGGAATCTATTCTGACGAATCACGTGCGCGCACTCCTTTTGAAACGTCATAAACACCATCACGTGCATCTGAAACACATGACACGTAACACCCAGAGTAAGCTACATCTTATCCTGTACGGTAGCGGTAGCGAGGATGACAGTGCCCCGTCAACACCTGACCTCAGAGGCTTAGATAACGGTAAGTTAACGAGTAATCAACCTCCGTAACCCCGACCTTAGTGGCAACGCCAACGGTAGGTTTTAGGGTTAGCATACGCCTACCCTTCTCGACCGAAATGGCGTTGGTAACGGAGAGGGTAAAAGTCGACATCAGTCTTTTGGGCTAGACATCAAGGTTATCGAAAAGTATACAAGTAAGTTTAAGGGTCAGCATCAACTTGCCCTTACCTTAATGGTATCGCCAACGGCATGAGTAAATTCCAACATAGCTTGTTTACCCTGACATCCGGGGCATCGAAAATAAGGTCAAAATATATTTCAGCAATGACTGTCCTTTCTCCATTCTGTGTACTGTATAATTAAGAACATGTTGGTCCGTATGTTAAATAATACAATAATGAAACGTTTGTGGCCTTAGTAGAATGATTCAGTACCTAATGAACATAGTCATATCGATGTCATCATTAGAACGTCCCTTCAGAACAAGTCATCTTGTATGACGTCAAATTACCTATCGCCGAGGACAATTACCTAATTATTATAATCTGCCTTTAACTTTACATTTCCTTTGCCTGCAAGACCCCATACAAATACTTCCAGAAAAAAGGATCAGTGTCATTTAGACGCTTTTGGGCCCGCCTCGTTTAACGTGACGCAATCTAAAGAAGAAACCATTTAGGTGGCGTTAAGCTCTACCATGAATATTGTTTGCATTGACAATACAGTCACTTCAATACTGCAAACGTCAGGGAATAGTTATATTAAATATTCTAATGACTATCAATTCAGACTGCAGATTCACGTAGTAGATTTAGTAGTAGTTTTTTTAATGTTCAAGTCAGTTACATACACATTCCAAGCACTCAACATAGCTGATTGCGCAGTTTCTAGGACGGGCAACAGCCAATCCAGCGCAACATGACGCCAACAATCGGGTTATAACAATCGCAGGTGATACGTTAACGGTCTGAATTTGCTTGAGTTTTATAATAGCATTGTAGTGCTATGTTTAACATAAAGCCATAAACATTGGGAAGAAGAAAAAAACCTCTTTCAATCACGATATAAGCGTTAGAAATATACTGAGTTAAATTTTCTTGTTTAATGTCGTATTTTCGTTATTTTTTGTACACTTGGTTTTACAGAAGGCATGAGGTCCAGTCTGCCAGACCTTACACAAGTTGACGATACCCTTCCGACGAATGAGAATTCCATGTCTTGTCCTGACCATCTGTACCAGCAAGTCAATACACCGAAAATCAACCATCTTCACCATCACCACGCTCACCTCATGCACCACCACGGTCACGGACCGGTACGTCATATACTACGTCATAATATACGTCATATACTATGTCGTTTTTTGTAATATTATTAGTACTATCAGAACGTTTATCGTCAACTTTAAGCATTCATTGCACTTAAGTACAGCTGTATAACTGTGGACTATGGTTGATGGTTATGGTAACGTAATCAGCTGAAATAGTGTTGAAAGATGAAATGATGAAAGAAGTAGCAATGATGAACAACATCTAATCTTGATATTACTCTTTTTAGCCCAACAGAAAATTCCTTCGGAAGATCCCAGTCGGAGCAGAAGTATTGAACATCCTGGTTGGCGAGGTCGATGCGCTTGATACGAGACTAGCGGCATTTGTACGATTAAAGAATGCAAAGGACTTTGGCCACATAACAGAGGTGGCTCTACCTACCCGTTTCTTGTTCATTATGCTTGTACCCAAAAACGCCTTTGAATCATCCTCGGAAATCGGTCGCTGTATGGGAACTTTGATGACTGATCCGGTGAGTGGTTCCTGTTAATTGTGGTTCAGTTCTTGAAGACACTCACTGCATAACATACATACTACAAGTTGACTGCGTCAATCGTGTTAAAAATTAGCTCAAAAACAGCTAAGCCAATGAAACGTTCATATTATGCTAAAAGTGGTTTCTGGTAGAATCTCGATTGAGCACGATGTACCATGTGCTAGAGAACGGAGCTGATACATACAATATTCCACGTCTTATTGCAAATTGACACATATGCAATTCCAATGACGCTATAAACAAAGTATGCCATCACAGCACACCATGTCATTGCTACCAGGGCATTTTTTTTTACAAATTTATCATTGTACTGGTCGTTGAAAGACAAATAGTAACATGTTTGCCCGGTAGAATATTGGTGTTATACAGGGGCAGGGAAATATATTGAAAAGGACCTGCTAAATAATTTTAATGAAAACTGGAAAATAAAGTATTTTAGAAGCCAATATTGATCTGCTACACTAACAGCTGAAATCCTGATCTTTTCTGATTATCATTATTTTTCTGCCGTTTTTTCTCTTGGCACAACTCCCGTTCCATCTCTACCGTTTAGACCTTATTTATGTTATCATGTCGAATGACTTTTAATGCTTTATCACAATATATAATGAATTTACCAAAGCATTTAAAATCGATATGTGGTCATTCACTTACTAATTATTCCCCCTGATTTTCAGTTCTTCCGTGAGACGGCGTACATGTGTGATGACCGTGTGGACATTATGACAGCTGTCCAGGAATTTGCCAGCCAGGTGACGGTGCTGCCACCTGGGTCCTGGGATCCGAAAACCCGTATAGAGCCTCCTGATATTATACCCTCCAAGGTAAAATGTTAACGATGAAGGCGGAATACCTAATTAGTTGTTTCAAATAAAATGTTTATTGTTTTATTGTTTTGTTTAATATCATTAGTTCATGAAAGAAGTAAGTATCTAGATCTAAATCATTTCCGAATTAAAATATTCTAGGCTCTTTTTGTGAAAAAGGTTCTTGCATTTCTGTGTTGTGTGTTTTCCAGGAATCTCGGAAAAAGGAAGTGGTTCCTATCGACATGCCCGACCAGCCAGAAGAGGCTCATCATGATGACGGGCTGGATCGTACAGGAAGGTAACTAAACCGTGTCAAATGCTACTACCTGTAATTTTCTACATATTGCAATATTGACAGATAATTGAGAATAAAAGTGGTGTTCACGATACGTGCATATACTGCCATTGCAACGGTCACAAGTGCGAACCTTGACCTTGACCATGACCTATCTTAATTCACATTAGCAATAACAATGGTAGCCTGGTATGACAAGAAAACACTGGAAAAGTACATTCAAAACTATATGAAGCCTATAAAATCAAATGATTGTGTTACGTCTGTATGCTGTACGGGAATAGCCACAATCTGTAGACAGCTCTAACCCCGTTTTTCGGGGGAAAAAATCTTATTTAATCCAACTTCATGTTAGCGTAAGATGCAACTAATGAGGGGCCCCTACAGATGTCATCCCTTGACTTTTGCTGAGGGGACATAGACAAACTGGTCTGCTTTCCCCTTGCAACACCTTGAATCTACATCTCTTAATTTTTTAATGTTTCCCTACTCATCATCGACAGTGTCTCCCTGGGCACCTGTAGTCATTTCACCCTGGCTGTTGTGAAGTCTTTAACTCACGAACAAATTAAAAATCCGTCGACAGTTCCGCATTTTAGCTAGGATAGGCTCTTCTATGACTAGAAATTGTGTAAGGGTATGGTTAAGATGAGTTATAATCTAGGGTATAAAAAAGGGAGAAACTGGGGTTAAAAACTCGAGAAAACTTAAATAAATATAATTAAAAACAATATTGATTTAATTTCCTTTACATTTGCAGACTTTTTGGAGGCCTTATCAATGACATCAAGCGAAAGATAAAGTGGTACAAGAGTGATTTCACAGATGCCTTGCATCTCCAGTGTGTTGCATCTTTCTTCTACTTGTTCCTAGCTACGTTGACACCAAATGTTACGTTCGGGGGTCTTCTCGGTGAAGCCACTCACCAGTACATGGTACGTATCACCAATTTATTTCGTTTTCTCCACCATCCAACTTCGTTTCGTTGTATCGCCCATGCGGTCAGTATGTTTTGTCTTTGTGTGTAGACGCTGTGGTATGTTTTATTTATGTGTATGACGCTCTGATATGGTTTGTCCTTTTTTTGACGATTTGGTGTATTTTGTTCTGGACTGTTTTCACTGTTATGTTTTTATATTGTAATGTGTTGATGCTGTGTGATATTTTTGTTTTAGAAATGTTAATAATATGAGTGTGTGTCTATATAAAAGTTAAATACAATATATCTGAAATATTTGACACTTTTTAGAAACATGGATAATATTACAAAATTATTAATGCCAACTTATCGATGGAAATAACAGAAAAAAATCCATAAACTAAAACACCAATGAAGAATCAATCTTCTTTACGACAGGGAACAATGGAGTGCATTCTAGCCGCGGCAGTCAGTGGAGTGTCATTTGCCTTATTCTCGGGCCAGCCCCTAAACATACTGGGCAGTACGGGACCAATGCTGATTCTCGAAATGATTCTCTACAATCTCTGCAGGTAAAAAACCCAACGCGGATTAATTTCTAGTAGTAGCTTTTATTGCATTTGAAAAATAGAAACCTACATAAACCTCTAGATTAAAAGTTCCCATTGATTTGTTGTTGAGATGTTCAGGTTCTTAACAACTATGTCATGGAATTTTAAAATGTCGCGAGTGAATCATGAGGTATTCAACTTTCTCAAAAATAAATCATATTCTCGCCAACAAGTCGTTAAAAGCTGTGAAATATTCATAAGACGAAAACAAGAGATAACAAATGTATAAGTACTAGAATTTATAAAAGCACTGACACATTTTTATTGCAGTGATAACGGATGGGATTTCATGCCAGCTCGTGTGTGGGTAGGGGTTTGGACTGCATTTTTCTTGCTCATCATTGTGGCCTTTGACCTCAGTTCATTGGTCCAGTACATCACTCGTTTTACAGAGGATAGTTTTGCCTGTCTCGTCGCTCTCATCTTCATCTATGAGGCAGTCGCCAAGCTCCTCGAAATACGTGAGGATGACCCAATAGAACTCCATCCCCTGCCAAGAGTTGACACCGGATGTGTCTGCTTCTTTGGAAACGTTACTACCGATTCTTCTTCCGTTATTCCGAGAAGTGACGCTCTTGCAAACCTCACGACCTCTGTTAAATCCATTGCTTCACACACTGTTTCTGGGGCTGCTGCTGCTTTTGTTAATTCAAGCAACTCTACTGTTCATCCACTGGTTGAAAACGCCACTACCTGGATGGAACACTGTACATTACAGGGTGGTATCATCCAGGGTAGCGGATGTGACGTCACTAAATATGTACCAGATGTCTTCCTCTTCTCCCTGATGTTATTTCTTGGGACTACCTGTCTGGCTTTCTGCTTTGTTAAATTTAGGGACAGTCTCTTCTGCCCAACGGTTGTAAGTATACTTTTAGATCAAATTCATTAAGTTCAATTTGCATCGAGGCTAACGTTAAACAGTCACCTTTGAGTTTTGTTTACTATTGGAAACAGTTAGGAATCGGAGATACAGGGCAATGTGGTTTCAAGTCATCTTGTTCAGGAACTAAATCAGTTATATTTACATATGTATGTTTAAGAACTAATTTTAATATCATGTAATGCATGTTTCTCTGGCGTGGAAAAATAGGGTATATTTTGATATTATTGTCGAAAAAAACGCTTCAGATAATCGAGACTAAATACCATTTAATATACCACTATAACTGCTGTGACTCGAATTCGTTTGGGCCGGTTATCGGGATGATCGAGCTATTAAGAATTGTTATATTGTGTCGACATCGTAATTCACCGTATGCTATTCTGCGTTACAGGTGAGGCAAACTGTCAGTGACTTCAGTGTTTTACTCGCAATAGTTATCATGGTCGGTTTGGACTTTGGCTTAGGACTACCAACACCCAAACTGACCGTTCCTACGGAGTTTAAGGTAAGCATTAGGGGAATTAGGTTTAGGCGAATGATTTTCATAAGTTTCATTAAATATAATTAGCTGGTCATCCATATAACCATCACGACTCTAGTTCAGATATATGTGTTATGTTTATGGCTTTGAAGTTTATGTCCAAAGTAGGGCCAATCAAATATCTTTTTTGTTCCTTAAAATTCCATACATGTCAATAGATTACATATAGGATCTTACATGAGTTTCCATTTGATATGAGATTTATAAAACAAGTCTAAGAATTTTTCAATTTAGCGAGCCTCTGGCGAGCTAAAATGAAAAATTCGTGACGAGTTTCGTCAATTTCATATGAAATGGAAACGAGTGTAAAATCCCTTTTATCACATAATCAAGATTTGTGGCATTTATTCGTGTAAAAGAACAATTTTTATGCAACCTTGAAATGTAAAAAGCCGCCATTTTGACTCCAGTGCGTAGGTCTGTGACGTCATGTACTTGTCCTAGGCATGACGTCACAATTGATACAAATGAAACTTACAACCAATCACAGGGCTTATAGGTCATATTACATGGGTTAATACGCACACAAATATGACATGGGTATATTCACTGGGTAACACAATACATCTTGTGACAATTATACTTCTTATATTAAGCAGCTACCGTTTTCAGAGATCTCCTCGACTTTTGTACAAATGTTTAGTTGTCGAAGTGTAAAGTAACTTTGTTTTAAATCAACCTGCCTAGTTCGATATTTCGATGCTACTCTTTGTCTCCGCCATCATTTTATGTGATTTTTCAAACACTCTGAGTACAATACACAAGTTTAATAAAAAGTTTTAACGATAAAATCTTAAAATATCTGAGATTTGATGTATGGCGTAAAATAAAAAAAATGAAAACATAAATTTAATAAATAGAAATATTCAATTTCCTTCATTGATTTCTTTTTGTGATTCGTAATTTCGTTGCTGGATGTTAACATGTATAATGTCAACTAATAAGAAAATCACAAACACTTTGCAGAGTGCAAATCAAATATAACGTTGAACAATATCCTTAAAATTAAATAGAAGATCGTTTTGTTCCGCTTTTTATTGTGTTCAACGAATTACCGCAATAGTAAAGTTAACAACGATTTCATAATCTAGACCTTAATACTTTTCTTTTCTGCATTTGACAAATCCGGTCTGACACTTGTCCTCTCGTTGAACCGACCACACGTGTTGTTCACCTGTGTTTGATAAATTATACAGCAAAACCCTCGCATAACATTCATTAATAAATCTGCTTGTGTTCCAAAATGTGACAGTATCATAAAATGTATTTACTTGGTATATGACTCAAATGCATATGTTTGTCCTTATATCATAACAGACTTAGACCTTATCAATTCCACTTTGTAATACATTTATGGATTCGATTGTAAAGGGGATAGTTGATATAGAATTCCAAAGGTTCCATAAGTACATGCAGATCTGTTGTCTTGTGAGGTTATTCCGTCTTTGCGTATTGCAGAGTTATCTTCTCTTGGGAGCACGTATTGATTTTTACGTCATTGGTCTGTGTGAGAAAATTGCGTCGTTTTTCTCAAAAATTGATGACGTTACTCTCACAAACAAGTGACGTAACAACCAATACCTGCTCCCAAGAGAAGATAACTCTGCAATACGCAAAGACGGAATACCTGTTTTAAGGATACTGCTTATATCATCATCACTTATCGATATCCTATAACATATCATTATGGTCCCCAATGGAATAATGTACATTTGTTGGGTGGTTGCAGCAAAGTAATAAGATGAAAAATATTTTGAAGATAGAGCCTGGCTGCATTTAACGAAATAAAAGAGGGGCTGCGAACCTTTGTTTCTCCGTAGGAATGTAGTACGGGTTATGTACTCAGGCCTAAATCTGCTGTTGTTGGTAACTAGACCTTACCCATATTGAGATACAATATATTTTCATCATGTTTTGCGTAAACTGTTGTAGCCTACACGAGAGGGGCGTGGCTGGTTCATCAACCCCATTAGCGATACAAACCCCTGGTGGCTGATGCTGGCCTCTGCTCTCCCCGCCATTCTCGCCACCATTCTTGTGTTCATGGACCAACAAATTACCTCTGTCATCGTGAACCGGACCCAGCATAAACTAAAGGTCAGTATAGAGGTCAGGGTTTATAAATGGATAAAACAAAGTTAAAAACAGGGCAAAGATTCTGGGCGAAGCCAGTACACATGGTTAACACTGGCAGTAGCAAGCTATTTTGACAGAGGCGAATTGTGAAACTAAAATTACAATGTAACGGCAAGAACAATGATAAAGGAAAGATAACAATTTGTATTGCGCTACTACTACCGTTCCGAAATGCTTAGATTGTTCAAACTCGGTAAAAGTGACATTTTTGTGTGAACATTTCATTTATTACGGATGTTTGTTTTACTTCAAGAAAGGGGCAGGATACCACTTGGATCTTCTCGTAGTCGCGGTCCTCATAGTGATTCTGTCATTGCTGGGCTTGCCTTGGTATGTCGCCGCTACCGTCACAGCCATTGCGCATGTCATGAGTTTAAAGAAAACATCCGAATGCACGGCACCGGGAGAGAAACCCACTTTCCTAGGAGTCAGGTAAAAACTTTTTTTTATACACTTATCATTTTAACAGTAACAAATACTATTTTGCCAAATAAAAAAAAATATGGATAATCTATAATTTATTAAATCATTTTATTTTTATCAAATCGAAAGAAATGAACATCAATTAAACATATGAATTTATTATAAATTTTTCACCATGTATTTAATGAAAGTCAAAGTTTCATATTCAGAGAATACCGTATATTTTGTAACTTGAAAAAAAAACCATTAACCTAGGAGTCCTTTTTCTGTGATATTTCCAGATCATACATTGTATTGTAAAAGTGAACTTTTTGCTGTAAAATAAGTATTTTTTCTGTCAAAATCTTAATTACTCTAAATCAAATTTACATAATATAGCTCGTAAATGTAAATGTAGAATCTGTATTTCTATCACCATTTTTGATATGGTGTATTTTCATGTCGTTACAGAGAGCAGAGAGTGACTAGCCTACTCGTCGGCATTTTCAGCGGTTTAGCCGTTCTCATAACATCTATACTAAAGGTGAGATACTATTATAGTAGCTGTAGATAAGAGCTTTTCAAACAACAAAAGTATTTTGTAAAACACCTTCAACATTTGTTTTTAAATAAAACATTTAATAAGACTTGGAGAAACACATTGACATGGGCATATTTTAAAGATTAACACAGAACAAAATAATAGCATAAGTAAGTCTAAAGCTATTTCAATTAATACATCGTGTACTTCGCATTTCGTATATAATGTCTTTTAAGTAACATAACTCATATAGTTATTACTTACGCATAATATTCAAAGAGGATGAACGCCTATACATGCTGTTTACTGTATTTGAAAGTCACGATAAAACAAGTGTTGTTATGGATTGTGTTTTATGCTTACAGTATATCCCGATGCCAGTTCTGTATGGGGTATTCTTCTACATGGGGGTGTCAGCTCTTAACGGAATGCAGGTAAGAATGCAAATGTTATTACCTTATGAAATCAGTGACAAAGCAGATTTTCTTTTCTATGACGAGTAGAAACGTATAAGTCAAATGCCTAGTCATACGTAATTTAGCTGGCTTTTGTGTTTTTATTATTTCCCTAATCAATTAATGTCATGTGAACTTGATTTATCGGCAACTCACTTTCATCTGCCATTTTAGATTTGATCCCTTTCGGTGTTTTACTAACTTTCCAGTAAATCAATATCAAACCTAAAATCGTGAATTGAATTTGTCTTAACGTCCGTAGAGGCATGACGCGATTTGAAGATGACCGCGTGATAAGTATTTAAAGAGTTCTGTATACCTAATAAATGTCCAACGTTTTTTTATTTCTTTTCCGTGAGCTGAATTTCATATAACTAAGCTATATCACTATAATATTTGTGTATCCATAGCAGAAAAAAAATTATACTTTGTTTTTCTTTTCCAGCTGGTGGAGAGGATCATGATTGTTTTTATGCCGCAAAAGTACCAGCCGGATTACAAATATCTTCGTTATGTACCTCTTCCAAGAGTCCATCTGTTTACATTTATCCAAGTTGTCTGTCTGGCTGTACTCTGGATTGTTAAAAGTGTGAAATCCATTGCCATTTCATTTCCAATCATGGTATGTCATTATATTCTTTCCCGTGTCCGAATACAAAACATTCAAATTTCTTACCTGGAAACTTAGACTTTAACTTAAATAAATCGGTGTTATACATAGGTAATATCAAATGTTTTATGTACGGATTCCGATATTCGTTTATTAGGAAACAAATAAACATGATTTTTAATCACTACAACGCCTGTTTTATGTTACCTGCATCAGACTTGACTAGATAATGAATTAGTCGACTGATGTATAGACTGAATATGGAAGTGCATGTAAAGAGTGCATAAAGCGGGAGAGTAGTGCTCTGTGTATTATGTCATACAAATATGTTCACTTTTTTTTGGTCTATAACTTGATACACTTTAAACAAAAACCAATGAAAGAGCGTATTACAAATAATATTACATCGTGGTAAACCTAATTTGTTTTTGTTTACGATCAGGTTGTAGCGATATGTTTCGTCAGAAAGGCGTTGGAATACGTGTTTGATCAATATGAGTTACAATGGCTAGACTCTTTACTCCCGGAAATGTGCAAGTCCGCCAAGGTAGGTATCATATAGTGTGATTCCTTATGAGAATATAGTGCTTTCAAGATTGTCGTGATTTGATACAGTATTTAATGTCAAGCTACCCACGTTTCACAATATACAATGTATATATAGATGTGTAAATATCAATACATTGCATATATCATTTATATCACTTTCTGCCTTGTGCTGTTGCCCTGTCAACGTAAATAAACAGTTTCCCTGATGAACTTATAAAGAGGTGAAAGCGCTAGGGAGGTACTAAGAAACTCTTGTCATTTGTTTTTTATAACTAATCTATGCATATAAGTGTCTTAATTATTTCTGTTAACGTGCATGCAGTATATCCTGCTACTGTTTATTTTTGCTGTTCTTGTGATTGTTAATGTCCCCATGATCCAAACGTTTTATCTCATCTTAAAATAATCGCAGAGATGTCCTAGGAACATAGGAAACACTATAATTAATTAATCTAAAAAAAAATCCGTCTACGACTGAAAAACCCTCCCACATATTAGGTTCGTACTTTAGTAATGAACTGAGAACACATTTATAGCATATTTACAACAACATAATTTATGACAGAGGCAGTACTAGAAATCTAATTAGGCACAAATCTGGTTCACACAAGATGTATCACTCGTGCTAAGACACTGCCCAGAAAAATGTCAATAAATGCAAGCAAATATTACACTTCATCCACCAGCAACTAATAAAGAAAAAAAGAAAACCCTTTATCATTATATTCAAACAGAAACTACATAGGAGTGTCAGGCCTAAACCAAGCATGTTCTATTCGTTTTCTTTCAGATTACTGCCGAAGAAGCAACGCCAACCGTCATAGCCACAAGGATCAAATTCGCAAGGTCTCTGTCAGTTCCGGCATCCACACCTACCACCGGAAGTACTGCCGTTGACATGAAACCAGACGGACACCAGCATTCATGTGCCAGCCGGAAAATCTCGACAGGCTCTTCACAAGCAAGCACAGTTTACGGACATCATGTTTGCCGGAGAAAAATATCAATACTTTCACTTCCTGTGAACCCTACTTTCGTTTTAGATCACGGGGAACTCCAGCGTGTTAGGGAGGACAGAAGTGTGAACTTTAGTTTGGACAATCTGAACGAAACATAACCTGCATGTATTTTTTGTATTTTTTTTTTTGTAAAAAATGTGTATATATATCAAACATTGATTTCAGAGTGCTTTTCCCAATGACATTTTATGATTTGTTTTGTACGTTGTATATATATGAAATACAAATATCGCTGTGTGTTATAAAGTGCTTTGTGACGTCAACAAGAATTCTTCAAAGTATGTCACAACGTGAAAAACTACAGCGGAGTTCGAACTTTCTGTTGAGTGTTCATGATATCATTGCAACTGTTTTCAAGTGCCATATTGATGATTTGGTATTCATTATATTTCGATGCCATTTTGAGCAGTGACGTGACAATGGCTCTTCTACGAGACTTCTAAAACGTCGTCGTCATAACGCTTGAGCTTCGTACGAACACAGCACCAAGAACCAAAACTCGAATATACTTGTTATATATAGAGTTAATGATGGTGTAAATAAGTATAATTTGCAATGGAAAAAAACCGAGCCGAAACCGGCATATGAGAATATGGGTTAATGATCATAAACATTAACCGTGCCACGGGATATCCCCACGCATTTGAAACAAGACATGTTAATATACCAAAAGTAGAGCCAACATGAATATAATTTACAAGATATCGGTAAACCGTTAAGTAAAACGTTGTACCAGTTAAAATATATATGGTTTTCTGAAAGTGTATTACAGGCACAATGACAATTTATGAGTGTTACATTCATATTACATCATGTACATGGATCAGATTTATTACTGATTTTCGAATATAATCTAAACAGCATTCACCTGACATGTTTCAAATGTCGATCGTGTGCAGATTTCATGTTATCGTCACAAGGGAATTTAATGCATGTCCAAACATCGCAAAATGTTTCTGCTGTCTCAGCTATGGTTTCGGTAACACAGATCCTTAGTAGAAATGTCTCCTGGACTGTATGTGACCCTCATATACCCAGAATACCGTGTGGTAAGGTGTTCAGAACAATGTCGGCTATTCAAATGTATTTATATATGTCCAACAGTATGTATCAAGGTTTTACTATGGTCACGTGCTTGTGTCTCCTCTCCATCAGTCCTCATTATCATTCATATTCATTTCTTATCTTATGTCCGTATTACATGACAAAGCGTGCACTTGTGTGTTCCTTATTATTTTAGTAATCCTCTGTAATGTTTAAATTTCTTTTTAGTGCACGAGAGCGTGAATGCAAGGAGTGTGCGTGTGCTTGAATGTATGCGAGTGAGTGTGGAGGTGGGCGTTACGTTCTTTCTGTAAATAGTTCCACTCACCGTTGTATATAATGTATGTAATAAAGGCATGTGATGGGCCATTCAGTTATAGTCAGTGCGGTGGAAACGAATTTTCGAGAAAGGATGGAATGAAACTATGAAAGCCATCTTATGAATCTTATAAGGAAAAGGGGGTTACTAATGTTCATGTAACTTGTGCCCAATCCTTTTGCATTTTTTGGCAATAAAATATGTTTAAACTAATGTCGGTTACCGAAAAATGCATATGAATTTCCATTAATTGTTGATTTAATAAACCATGATTTTGTTTACACATGTTGTGATGATATTGTGGCCATATTTACATATTTCAGTTCCGTGTAGGCCGGACTGTTGCATGTTCTATACCTGTTGAATGGACTAAGGTATATCTTGCGTGATTACGGGTAGAACTGGATTACAGTTTGTCGTTGTTATCAACGAGCATTATCAATTCTGTTATCTTCTGTTTGTGTCCTATTGTTGCTGTTTCCAATTTCAGTGTTAAATTAAATCTCTCAAACCAAGATCATTTACGAATTTATCATATCATCAAGTAGTCATAAGCATACAAACATATAAGTTCAAATATATACAAATCAAAAAGTATATATATATAGGATCTTACATGAGTTTCCATTTCATATGAGATTTATGAAACGAGTCTAAGAATTTCAATTTAGCGAGCATTTCTTCGTGTAAAACGACAATTTTCATGCAAGCTTGAAATGAAAAAAAAAAGCATTTGACGCCAGTGCGTAATTCTATGGCGTCATGTACTTGTCCTTGGCGTGACGTCACAATTGAAACAATTGAAACTTAGAACCAATCACAGGGCTGATAGGTCATATTACATGGGTTAATACGCCAAAAAATATGACATGGGTATATGTGATAAATATATATATACCTTTCGCTGTGCATTGCTTTTATAATGCTAATGACCGTCATTGACATCACCATAAAGATCACTCTGTAAGATTAGGGTGAGGACGTTCCTTTCTGAAGTTATGTTTTGAGTATTTGGTGTGGAAGATTATTTTGGATCTCGAAATTCTGCATAAACTTTTTTTTATATATATTTCCGATGGATATATATTTCTTAACACAACACTAACGAGTTTATTTTTGTTATAAAGAAAGAACGAATTGTACATAACCCAAAAAACGGATTTATGCATAGTACACTACGTTGTTGGAAAGAGAAAATGGTGGTCTTTTAGAGCAAAGTTTGCCTAAGAGGGGTGCTCTCTCGAGCTCATTTCACTGCAAATGTAAATAGATGTATGGTGTTACTCTGAACGTTATCATTGTGCTTATGTAATTATATAAATGAAATGTATATCTTATATGAAGCTTCATTTGTTGGAATTTTGAAAGTTATCTTTTCGAAATAAATTGTTAAAATGAACTGAACCGTCGAGTCATTTTATCACAAATATTGCTCAGACATAAAAGAATTGCAGCAGATTAAAGAACATTATTTCCGACCAATGTGATATTGACCAGGGCTTCGCCTCTGTTAATATCACTCTTGCACGTTCATATCACATCATATTCACCAGCACAAAAGTCCATAATTGTATAATATATTTGCCGAAATGAAGCATTGGAGTTATAACACTGACTTCATATTAATTACGATGATAATAAATCGAGGTTCATATACATACTGTTATATATCACAACCTAGTTCGTAGGTCGTCTCAAAGCGGTTCACAAATTATTATCCGTGATTATAGGGCCTTTGAAACCAGCCAAATATCTTTCTCTACTCCCTGTGGAGCATACAGCCGGTGCGGCGCTCACAGCTAGTATTCTACAATTCTAGCATTGCCCAACCACGTACTTATTTACAGCTGAGTAGACTGGAAGAAGCGGAGTAAAGTATCTTGTTCAAAGATACAACACAGTGCCGCGACGTGACTCGAACCTGCAACCCTTCGGTCACGAGCCCGGCGTCCTACCACTAGACTGCCGTTCCTCCTTGAAGTATCAAGATGGCTTTGAAGCATTCTCAGGTTTGATTCAATCCTAGATTGAATTACAATATTGGCGTCATAAAAAACCATCTCTGTGTTTGCCGCATAAGTAAGCGTTGATATATCACAATGAGATTGTGAAGTCGACAACATAAAGTCGGCATCAACACGAACATTTCGCAGCCACCCAAAACACACACGCATAAGCACTACACACATGCATCTTGCACACAGGGGCGGCCGTCCTTAAATGACCATAGCTTTTGAAAGGACGTTAAACAAAATAACAAGCATATTTAAATGTCCCACTGTGACGTTATATATGTTAATAATACGTAAACAAGAATACATCCCTTGTATCAAGAGATGTAATACAATTCATCTTAAATGTCCTCGCTACTGTCATTCAATTCGGGGTCATAGAAACAGGAGACTATTACATATATATATGCACATAAAGTTGAAGCTTGTCATTTCAGAAACATCGGCCTAATATAACAAATGTTTTCAATTACGGGTTGGGAATTTGCATTCAGTGCAATTCAGTTCGTGCATATAAGTGACAGGGCAGTGGTCAAACTTTTTCGTTTTACCTGTCTGCGTTAAAGCTGAAGATGCAAGTAAAGGACCACCAACAGGATTTCTTTAAGAGTTAAAATGCAAATGAGACACCTCCGTAAATCGGACGTCGATCATTCCTCATATTTGACCATTTGTAAAAAGTCTCTAACGTTATGTTGCGGTACACATAACGTCACAACCACATGCGTGACCAAAGCACAAGAGATTTTAATCAAGCTAAAGGTCTTGTCAAGTCATTTTAGCTGGTGTTCGGGTAACAGCAGGATGTACATATTTTCCAAAATAGATGTTGCATTTAGCGACATTGTACAGCCCTTAATTCTTAATTTCATTCATAATTCATAAAATGTCGGCATGCAATTTAAGTAGCGATATTATTTCACTCAAATGCGTATTAGAACGTCATCCACGAACTCGCCTATTAACTTATGTGTGGTAAGCAAATGCATACCAGCAAATGTCAGCTTCTGGTTACCAGTGGGTACTTGGTGTAGAGAATATTTTTTAAGAAAGATTTGATAGTCTCTGTCCCTAAGGATGCTCCGGACCAAATTTAGTCAAAATCTACTGGGCCGTTTAGGACTAGTAGCGTTTTAAAGGAAAAAATGACGGACGGACGGACGGACGACCGATGCTGCGGTATGGCATAAGCACCACCATGGTCCTTCGGACCAGGTAAGCTAAAAATATAGTTTAATGCCCGAGTAACATGTTTTAGCGGTATCTATATGGAAACCAAACGGTTGTGTGACCGTAATGAATAAATACACTTTACATAAAGTCACCTTTCTTGAAATTTAATGTTTTTTATAAGTCTATACATATTATACACGTTATAGCACTTTTCAGTTTCAACGTTTAAACATGTCTAGTGCATGCATTCATAACATCACAAAATATTATCAATTGGCACATACTCTAAAGTACATAAGTCAATTTTGATAACTTAGCCTTTATTGCAACAACAGTGATGGACATTTCGTCTTCTGTGATAAATCTGTGAAATAATATCCATGCCTTCCTAGTAGGGAAAGTCGGACATGCATCTTGCACACAGGGGCATCCTCGATATCCAGGGGTTTTGTTCATGTCATAGCAAAATTGAAGGCTCAGTGTGCACCACCTTGTTGATTAGTTCGATCCTTTGATGTACATCAAAAGAATCTCGCAGTCGCGTAACGGTACAAAATGACAGGCTTTAAAGTCGAGTGTCGCTCCTTTGTAATCTTCAAAGGACAGGTATCAGCGTAGCAAATTGGTCAGGATTTTTTTTACCCGAGACCAATCAAACAGCTATCTTCGTGCCTTCAATTTTGCTATGGCCTATTCCAGGGGTGCAGAGAGCGAGAGTGAGCGTAACACCTGGATATCGAGGATTGACCAAAACTGTTGATAGGACGTTAAACAATACTAAACCAAACCAACCATAACTGTTACAGTCACCGACTGATTCATTGCCAATAGTAAGCAATGAACCGATGGCAGACCGTTGGATTTTAATTAAGTGATATCTGTTGTCGTTGAGATTCCATCGCTTTGGTCCCTAGCATCATCGGCGAGTCCTAGAAGGACGAAAACAGTTGTATGATGCAGTGTATTTTTTTTTAAATTTCTTTTTCAGCGTAATACATTTTTTGCATACTCTTTTACCATTTATGCTACAATAACCTGTTACGTTCACCTTTCAACATACAAGGTGCTATATTCTGCTAGTAGATATTTTAGTCTTTTGGGCATTTACCAGGTTCATAACATTCACATACTTTACTCATTATTATTTTGAAATTAACCAGTACTCCTGATCTAACACCTCCCGTCTGGTATCAACACTTACAGAAGTTTAGACCAATTCAGGAATTTCCGACTTTTTGGCCAGAATCATCACCGATGACTTCAAGAAGAATGACACAGATGTATTCTTCAGCGCAATTCAATTTTTGGCATGCTGTTTTGGCATGCTGTATCTTTTTGGCATGCTGTATCTTTTTTGCCATATTTTATGCAAATTTCATATGTGTCTTACGTTCGACTTTGTAAATATGACGTAACAATCAAAGATATAATCTTAGCTTTATTTCATAATCAAATGACCCAATAAGCTACAGTAGTAATGGACCATAGCTAAACGTTCAATCAAACTGCAGGGAATGTTATAACATTACACTCCCAGTGAACGTGTACAATAAAGACCGGTACATCAACATAACAACAATTGATTTCTCAATAACAATACGTTCATGCTAAATTCTAACAAACATTATTTGATCAAATACTGTACGTAATAAATTTACTTAAGACAGTGATCCAGTCGAATCATGTTTAAATTCTAAGTATTTCTAAACGATCCTTGTTAATCCTGGCTGCCACAGGTAATCTACACAGCCTTTGGGGAAACAGATATCATTTTATTATATTAAGTGTCCGTCATCAAATACATCAACTGTCCTACAGACCCTGCACCATTTTTCTTGTCTATTTAAACGGAAACCCAACAAAAACGCATTGCAAACGAAACGCAAAAGCAGCGCACTTTTGGTAAAGAAAACGGTGCAGGGTCTGTTCAGCTGTACTAACAAATAGTTCCATATTAAAATATTTAACAAGGCATAACGATATCTAAGCGTTTCGAATTGATGAGAGTTGTTAAGATAAAAAAAAAGTGAGATAGTTTTGATGACGTCTAATATTCTATTTATCATAAGAACGATCTTACAAATGTAAAAAGGTTTCATTACGTTTCATGACATTAAAACTGTTTTCTACATCTGAAGGTCAAAATGCAAACTCATACAAAAAGCAATGCCTGTGAGTATACATACATGTACATTTTCATGAAAATCAGATAAAAAGTTGCCAAAGTTCTACTCATAAGATTTATGACCTTATTTGGCCCCTTCCTACCCCATAGAAGAAAGAAGTGAATGACAGAAGCCGGATGACAGGTGCATTGTCATATAGGAAAGGAAAAACTGCTCATAAATACCAGTTAAGTAGTAATACATTTAGACTTGGAGTGACTGGATCACATTGGCTTGACTGTAATATGTATATAGGTACAGTCTGTTTTATCTTATAAATACTGTACACAACACATGCAGATTTATAAAACATTTGGTTTTTGTTCATTACTTACTTTACTGTACAATATATGTTTCAACATAAGATTACAAAACATTTTATAAAATACATGCCACTTGAACAATTGTACACTTACTCACCACACAACACACAACACATCCTTTTTAAGGACATAATACAAAGAAACCAGTCTTTCAACAATTGTAGCACACTCACTAAAAGTGACAAACCCACGGTCGTTTCATCACTCTATAATAATAATAATAATAATTTGAGGTTCTTATATACCCCTTTATCACAACCTTGACTAGTTCGTAGGTCATCTCAAAGCGGTTTACAAATTATTATCCGTGGTTATAGGGCCTTTGCAACAAGACAATATCTTTCTCAACTCCCTGGGGAGCATACAGCCGGTTCTGCCATTTCAGCGCTAACAACTAGCATTCAACAATTCTAGCACTGCCCTACCACATACTCATTTTACAGCTGAGTAGACTGGAACAAGTGGAGTAAAGTATCTTGCTCAAAGAAATACACAACACAGTAACTGTGAGTTACTCTCACAGTAACCATAGGATATCAAAGCTCTATCAACTAATTGGCCCATGAACACACATTTGAACTCTTCCAATTCAAAGGTTGGAATAATTCATCATGAAAGTTCAGGGGTGAATGGCATTAACATGGTTGGAATATAGCACCTATATACACACGTCCCACACAAATGATCATGAAGGGAGCACTCATTCATTGGCTATTTGGAGCTATTTTCCAGCAATATTGGTAAAACTTTGACCTACTTCACTGCAACAAAACAGTTACCATTTAACCATGTAGCCACATATAGTAGTCAAGGAACCCTGCTTTTCCTTATACAGACATACAGTTATCTGGAGGACAGTAAAATTCTGAGACTGTCTAGATTATTTTTTACTAAAAAGTTGAAGGACGACCTATATATACATGTTTTAAAAACAAATAATTTAATTTAGATATATATACTGATATGACAAAGTCTTAACAATTTTGTTTACTAAGTCAAGATTCTCAAATTTTTAACTAGAACTTGGAAGTGCTTATTGTCATTCATAAATGTTTTGTCTATAATGTAACAATCTTAAGCTAGAACCTAGCATTTCTGACTTTTTTTGTAATTTTGAAGAAAACTTCATGTACAATATATACACGTATATATGTTTTGTTTTGTTTTATTTTGACACACAAGTCAGTACTTTCTGTCATAGTTTTACTACAAAATTTCATGGTCTACATGTAAATTTGCACACAGTTCAGGAAAATCATGCATCTACATTGTATATATAACTGTTGAATAATACTAACAATCCTAATATATACATGGAAATCACAAATGGAATACACAGTGAGTGTTTCTTTTTATATACGGTAGCTAGGCTTTAAACAGCATATAAAATATATCAAGGAATACTGTTAGTAGAAAATTGATAAAGTCTCTGTAAACTCATTAACTATAGAGAGCCCGAGTCCCATCCCATTTCTACTGTGTTCTAGTATTGAAAAGTTCTCTTCCTGTTAAATTGATGATATTTTAGCTATATTATTCCTACAAAGACAAATAAAGGTTGCCAGTATTATTCCTTTATCAATAAACATCACAACTGGTAGTGCCATAGATATGCTCCCTGTCTCATAACAAACAGGTCTGGGGTTTCAATCCCTGTAGTAGAAATTGTTTTGTGGCGAGAAACATATTAATGAATATATTTCTTTCATATATAACTCTTTGTTATAGTAACTTAAGCCACTTAATTACCCCGTACCATTGCCAAACGCTATACCTACACATAGGAAACTGATTTTTTGGGCATGATTATAGCTTTGATAAATCATTTCTGAAAAGAAAACCATACCTTACAGGACTTTTATGAGACTATAATAAAGATGAAATAAACAAAATTTAATCAACAACAGTGTTCTGGCAATAGTGGAGGCTACAGGGTTTCAATCCCCCGATTTCAGACTGTTAGGCTAACACTGTTACAAACTGAGCTAGCTGGTCAATGGATGTGTGCTGGTCTTACTGTGCTACTGTTATATCCAAACCAAAGTTAAGGGGAGGTTACTGTATATATAGGGATTGAACAGATTTTTTTTTAAATTTTCACATCAGCATGAAAATTTTAAAAACGCTGTTCAATCCATATATTTACATTTTTACGATAGAACCATTTTTTTAATTTTATTTAATATTTGTTCTGAAATAACTTATTTATTTACTGCGTCATCCTTTAAATGACATAGGCAAAACAGCCCAATTTAAATAAAATTCCATTAATTAACCGTTGTCATTTGAGCGTTTGACGCAGGGGCATTCTCCATGTTATCTCAAGTGAAGCGACAAGACTCTCATTGAACAAGGTTAATCTATGACGTCATAAGAAAACCACGTGTGTTTTGTCACAAGAGTTTTTGCTTTCATACTCAAATGAAATGCATTTCTACTTGAAATGTTCATACAGTGGGTTGCAGTACAAATGTAAATATATGCACATAAAACCACTTTGCAGTGGGACAGGGATCCTTAGGTCATAAAATATGCCAGATGCCGCTCCATTTTATAAATAAATCTCTGCTAGATTCTAAAAAAATACTTGATGTCAGATCCTTCACATGATCTCGGCTGTCAATAGATAGATCACCACCTGTTCCTTAGGACATAAAGCTTTCATTTTCTTTGTTTGAGATAAAACACAGTGCCTCTCTACCTTATAAGTATTTTTTTATTTGTGTAAACCTTATGCTATTTCCTCATCTCCAGACTCTGACTTATACAACTGTTGGTTCCTTCGTTTAAACTTCTTGGACTGGGGACTATCCTCACTTTCTGATCCATCTGCACGCTTGCTTGTATTCAAAGCTAGGCTGTTTGTTTTTCGGGTGACCTCAGAGTCACTTCTTTCATCACTGCTGGCAGGACTTGACTGGGTCAAAGGTCGCAATATCACAGCTGGACCCATTAAAGGATCAACAGATAAAGAGTGATCTTTTTGGGCTGCCATTATGGCTTTGAATTCATCATCCTCATCCTCGTCATCAGCACTCGGATCTTTTGAAGTTTCTGTGGATAATTCCTTTTCTTTTTTCTGAGCTTCCATGATAGCTTTGAACTCTGCCTCTTCATCTGATAAAGAAATCTCCGCCGGATTCGCCAGAATACTTGATGTCAGATCCTTCACAGGATCTCGACTGTCGGTAGATAGATCACCCCCTGTTCCTAAGGACATGAAGCTATCATCTGCATTGCTGGAGGAGAGTAAACTAGTATTACAGCTTTGGTCACTGTCTATGAATGACACAAAGCTAGGCTCGCTGTCACATTCTGTTTCATCGTCATCTACATCATCATCGTCGTCAGCATCACAAGCACCCTCCCCAGAGACATCCAGAAGATTACCGGAATCTTGTCCGAGAAATATAGCGTTTGGGTCGGTTATGTCCAGCATCGTACACATTAGGGTAGTTTGTGGGTTCACCATTGTCATAGGAGGGTTAACTTTACATTTGCCCTGATTAGGATCAAACACCTCAACAGTTTTCTGGAAATTGTCGGGGATAACCAAATCGCCGCCAAAATCTTCTAGAACTTTGTTTTCCTCTTCAATGGTAGGTGTGAACTCCCATCTGGAAAAGTAAAATCGTTTAAACATGTATCAATAAAGGCCAAATATAAAATTATCAAAGAAAAAAAGCTTGGAAAGGTTTTTAATGTAGCGGGTGATCATCATTACAATGTACTGCTATTGCTGATTTTCGGGGGTTCAAAGGTTAATTGCTATTTTTAGAAATTTGTCAACCAATTCAGTGTTATCACTCTTGTGACTTTAAATCTTTAATATAAAATCCTGATAAGAAATCTTTACAAAAAGGTCAAATACAAAAGTTCCTCACAGGAAATTATATTAAGGATCCAAATGTCAAGGCCAAGGTCAATGTTGTCAACCAATACAGTGTCATTGCCCCCGCAATATTTGTCAATGAAATTGATCAAGTTTTTACACAAATGTCAGAATATCTAGCATGAGTTCATGCTTCAGGGTTAGAAGGTAAAGACTCAAGGGTAAGATCAATGTTCGTCACCAATCTTCATGCAAAGAATACAATGAATACTCAAATGACTTTATAAAGTACACACATTTGGCGAAACTTTTTAAACAATATTTTATAAGTACTAGATATATACAAATTTCACAAAGTTTTACAGTATATATATATACCATTCAACACATACCTGGATTGACTTCCCGGACCAGGCATGTAGATACTGCCCCTTTTCAGACTGAGTAGGTGATTGGTCAGTTTGAGTATACTAAGCCATTCTGTGTCCAGTTGCAGCTTGAGAGGTTCCTGGGGGTCATGTGGTACATCCAGTATCTAGTTTGAAAATAAATTAACACCTTACATTTACCTTTTTATCATTAAGAGATACTGATGGTGAGGAACAGTACCATTAGGTTGTTAGCCCAAAATTTATTGGACATTGCACCTTTATACAAATACAAAAATAGATTTCATTTTTTTTTTTAGATGTTTGAAACATATAACTTTTCATAGGAATGAAAAAAATTGTACTGACATTGACTTATCAATTAATACTTCTATAGTAAGTGTTATAAACATGATGAAGAACATTCAAGAAAAAACCTGAACCCATGATACCATCATAGATCACTTCTATCCGTGGTATCCGTTCTTCCATGTATTTAAAATTGTAGGGATGGCAGCGCTAAACAAAATCTAGTTTTATAAGTTGGGAGAGGAGAGGTGCTTTGCTGGAATTTTACAATAGATTTTTTTTTCTGTTTTGAAAACACAAGAAGCACCATCTTATCTTCTGATAGATCTGGTGTCAATGTTTTTTGTGACTTTTTTGGGTCGATAATGGGCCCCATTCCCAATTGAAACTATTTCATATTAATGCTCAATTCCCAAAACTTGCAGTTTACTCCTGAAAATTTCCTTCCAAATTGGTACATTTTCTTTCCAAAATGAGTCAAAAAGGCTCCTGCCTAAATTAATGGGAAAAAAAAATTGGGTTCCCCGTAACCTAGTATTTAATCTGGATATCATGTGAATTGGATTTCAGACTACTTACATTGAATATAATATCTAAGCAGCATGCAACACAATTATATGACAGATTCCTACGATAAAATGTAAGAACAGAAACATGCATGCCGCCAATGTTGCTGTAGAATATACATGATAATGTGACAGTATGTTTTTCTGCTGCAAACACATATTAGAGAAATATTCTACAGCGTGCACATTTCTACAGTGTAAACACCTTCAGCTTGTACATCACTTCATATGAATTTTACCTGCAGAAACTTCCTTCGTGGTAAACACTTGTCAAGAGACAAGAACCTGGTTATCTTCTCTTCACCAGGAGGAGCCTAGTATCATAAAACACGAGCATTAATCTTCAGGCTCAAAACAAGATTACCTCATCAAGTAAAAACATGTGAATTAAAATGTGAGCGTATCTAATAATGTTCTGTCAAATGTGAAACAAATGTGAAGCAGACATGTTGTATACTATCACTAGTAAACATACAAATGTCAAGTGGAACGTACACCTTGAATCACAGCGATTGGATAAATGGAGTTTAAAGGCTCCACATTCCTACAATGCTGAATTGTACAGCAGGAATACATTATCTATTGTCATTTAAGCACAGGATCGGTATAAAGCCCACTCAACAGGTATTTATTTTTTTAATTTCAGCTTACTGACCTGGTGCTGTACAATGGCTGCAAACTTGACGTGGAGATGAGCCGAGAACCAGTAACGCGGCTGTAGCTTCATCAACAACTCTTCTGCAGGTGGGCTTCCCAGGGTTCCAGACTCAATCTCGTCTCGTAGGAACTGTTTTGTCTTCAGTAGCTGTGATGTGTTTCCGTAGTCATAGACACCACGTGGCCAGTCGTGGGACATAAATATGTCCACAGGTTTCCTCAACTGTGAACAGGAACAAAATAAAATGAGGTCATCAATAACAGTATGGCAAACCAAAAGGAATATTTTACTCATTCACCCCTGAAATTCATAATGGACTATTCTGATCTTTGAATTTGAAAAGTTTAAATGTGACTTCAGGCCAAGGGGTGAATGAGTTAAACATTAAAACAGTGATCATCAATCCTAATCAGGTAATATTACAAGGCATTTGTCTGTGTTAAGTAATCTTATAGAGATGTATAGGGAATAACACTGTTAAAACAACTAACATTAACATTAGAACAACACCAGTTCTTGCCTGTCACACAGAAACAATGTATAATTGTTACAGGAGGCATGGTGGTAGTCTAGTGGTAGGACGCCGGGCTCGAAGGGTTGTGGGTTCGAGTCACGGCATGGCACTGTGTTGTATATTTGAGCAAGATACTTTACTCCGCTTGTTCCAGTCTACTCAGCTGTAAATGTGTATGTGGTTGGGCAGTGATCATTGAATTGTAGAATGCTAGCTGTTAGCGCCGAAATGACAGCACCGGCTGTATACTCCCCAAGAAATTGAGAAAGATATTGGCTGGTTGCAAAGGTCCTATAACCATGGATAATAATTTGTGAACCGCTTTGAGACAACCTACGAAATATTATTATTGTTGTTTTAATGATTCATGATCATCACCTGTTTTAGTCTGAATACTTCCAGATTGCGAATGTGGTAGGCAGCTCTTTTAGATTCTTCATTGTATGGTGGATGTTCAAAATGGCCTGTCAATTAAAAAAATCATTCCTGAGATGGTTCTTATGAGATTTCTATAAATTAAAAAAAGGTTGAAACAAAACTGCATTTTTAAAACTTTGTGCAGCCTTATATAATCTTCAACCGATCAAATACACAATAAAATTTGCTATTAAATGGCTTTAACTAAAAAAGATCTTTTCAGATGACAAGTGTAGATTTTGTATCAAGACTTTGTATGGTCAAGTCAAATACAATGTACAAGCAGGTCAACACTTAGCGTTATGTAATCATGGACTTATCATAGCAGAGTTGACATGTTTAGATGGTTAGGCCAATGATCATCAGAATTAAGTCAAATTGTACATAAAATGATATGCGATATAACAAGGGGAGAGTAGACTTACCTTTGGTAAAATCTTTACCCTTATAAATCCCTGACAGTCCTCCGATCCTCACACCACCAAACTTCAACACATTGGCATACCCTAAAACACAATGGTATAACAACACATTGGCATACCCTAAAACACAATGGTTTAACAACACATTGGCATATACTACAAGAGGCCCAAGGGCCTTAGCGGTCACCTGAGTTATATCATAGATACTGGTAGCTTTATTTTATTGTTTAGATGTGATGTGGAAATCAGCATGTAAACTAAGTGAAATACAATACTTGTCATGTCATCAATGGATAAGAATTTGAAAATATTGGTAAATGTTCCCTTTGGGGCCCCGCCCTAGCCCCTGGGGATGGGGCAGGAATCCTAATTTTACAAAGTAAAACTCTCATTTACCCAAGATGATTCTGACTAAGTTTGAGCAATTTTCTGCTGAAAATGGATAAAATATATACCGAAAAGTGTTATTTCCCTATATAAACTATAT